CGTTTGCTATTTGCCTTCAGCGGCATTTTACAATACACACCGTTGTATTTTTTTTTTTTTGGTTTTGTAGTTAGTTATCAGTCTTACCTCTTTGACCTATGTCCTTCAGCTTCGTTACCAATGCGTCAAAAGAATTTCTCTTTTTCGCTGTTTCTACGTAGATATCTAAATAGAAAACGTGGTTGGCAACGCTAGCCTTGCATTTGGCTACTATGCGCCTGTTTTCAACTTCAAAGACAATGTGAAGTGTGTTATGGTGGGCGGTGAGCGGTGAGCGGTGGGCGGTAGCTGCTCAATAATCTATGCTAGATGCGCTTTGAAGTGCGGTCGATTCTTAGCGATTTTCATACATACATACATATATACATATATACATACATATATATGTACGTAGGCTTAGAATGTATGGCATGTTTGCAGAAATGCTTGTGCTGATTAGAGCTAGTGCTTGAAAAGCTTTGTGCATTGTAAAAGCTAAAAAGCTTTTTTGTGCCTAAAAGTATGCTTGATTTGTAGGCGCTGGCAATTGTTGGGGCACTTGAGCATTTTTGAGATTTTCTTTTAAGCCTATTTGCTGAGCACGTTGCCATATAAATTAGTAGATGGGAATTGAAAAATTGGAGTTTTAGGGTATGGAATTGAGATTTTTAATAGCAGNTCTTTTCCGCTGACTCATTGCGCTCGCTCAACTCGTCTGCGGCAATATTTGTTGACTTTTCCGTTTGCTATTTGCCTTCAGCGGCATTTTACAATACACACCGTTGTATTTTTTTTTTTTTGGTTTTGTAGTTAGTTATCAGTCTTACCTCTTTGACCTATGTCCTTCAGCTTCGTTACCAATGCGTCAAAAGAATTTCTCTTTTTCGCTGTTTCCACGTAGATATCTAAATAGAAAACGTGGTTGGCAACGCTAGCCTTGCATTTGGCTACTATGCGCCTGTTTTCAACTTCAAAGACAATGTGAAGTGTGTTATGGTGGGCGGTGAGCGGTGAGCGGTGGGCGGTAGCTGCTCAATAATCTATGCTAGATGCGCTTTGAAGTGCGGTCGATTCTTAGCGATTTATATACATATATACATATACATATATATGTACGTAGGCTTAGAATGTATGGCATGTTTGCTGAAATGCTTGTGCTGATTAGAGCTAGTGCTTGAAAAGCTTTGCGCATTGTAAAAGCTAAAAAGCTTTTTGTGCCTAAAAGTATGCTTGATTTGTAGGCGCTGGCAATTGTTAGGGCACTTGAGCATTTTTGAGATTTTCTTTTAAGCCTATTTGCTGAGCACGTTGCCATATAAATTAGTAGATGGGAATTGAAAAATTGGAGTTTTAGGGTATGGAATTGAGATTTTTAATAGCAGGGCTTTTGAGTCCCTTTTGCAATCGACTGAGGGCGCTCGTACTGGAATCCTATAGCTAGGAAATATACGTGATATAAAATTGTACGATTTTAACACCCTATAAACGTATGTATGTATGTTGCTTGTTTTGTTTCATTTCAATTAATTCTTAATTTGTAATTTTTTCCTTTCATTTTATTTTATTTTAATTTAATTTTTTTTTTAATTGAATAAATTAATTTTATTTTCCTCTCATCTATTCTGTTAAATAAAATTTTAATTTTTATTTAATTTTAATTTATTATTTTTTAATTTAATAAATTAATTTTATTTAAATTATTAATTTTATTTTCCTCTCATCTATTCTGTTAAATAAAATTTCAATTTTTATTTAATTTTAATTTATTTTTGTTTAATTTAATAAATTAATTTTATTTAAATTATTAATTTTATTTTCCTCTCATCTACTCTGTTAAATAAAATTTTAATTTTAATTTAATTTTTTTTTAATTTAATAAATTAATTTTATTTATATTATTAATTTAATTTTCCTCTCGTCTACTCTGTTTAATAAAATTTTAATTTTTATTTAATTTTAATTTTGTTATAAATATATTTTATTTGATCTTTTTTATTTTAGATATTTTTTTTATTTTATTTTCCTATATTAAATTTGATTAAATTCATTTTTTTTTTTGTATTATTTTATTTGCTATATCTCTATTAACAATACTTTTATTTCTATTTCGCTGTAAATTATTTTAATTTACTCCATTGTTTTTTATTTATATTTTATTATTTAATTTTTTTTTAAATTTCTTTTTAATTTTTTTATGTTATTTTCGTGCAATTTTTTTAAGTTATTTTCAAAATTTGTTTGTTTTTGTTTTTTTTTTTTGTTTTTGATTTGTTTTTTTATTTATTTTTTTTATTATTAATTGTATTAGTTTATTAAATTTTGTTGTATTTAGCTTTGAGTTTTTTTTATTTTTTTTGTTTAATTTTTTTATATTTTAATTTAATTAATTTAGTTATACTGTAAATTTTATTTTGTTTTATTACATTATGTTAATTTCTATTTTTTGCTTATTTCATTTGGTTTTATTTTGTTTTAATATTTTTATTTATTATTATTTTTTTTTTGTTATATTTTGATTTCATTTTATTTTTTTTTTTCTTTTATTTTTTATTTTATTTTTTTTTTTACTTTTATTTAATACTGTTTTATTGTATTTTAATTTCAATTTTATATATTTATTTTTTATTTTATTTTGATAAATTTTTACCGCAAAATTTCTCTCAGTGCACGTTAGAAACGACCTGCCAACAGTTCACCACATTTTTAATTTTATTTGTTTGTCTCTTTCGTGCTTTCTTTGACACACTCTAGAATATTCGCCACTTCCGTTGCGCTATTCTATTCCATTTTGTCCACTTATTATCCTTTAAATGCATTTTGTTCTCCACTTTGAACATTGCTCTGTAGCACTAAACATATATTAGTTAGTACAAATGTATGTATGTGCATATGTACATAGCAAATCTATGTATTTGTTGACTTTTGTAGCTGCCTTTTAGGCGTCTAATAATTCGGTTTTCTTACTATTAATTCCACATTTTGTCGGCTACCGTCTACACCTCGCCACACAAACATGCACACACACATATATATGTATTTTCAAGTATGCTTTAAACTCTCATGTGGCGTTGATTGTGGATGAAGATGTGGAGGGAATAGATTAGATACTCAGTGGTGGCAAGCGCAGCCGTTAGCAACAGAAAGCAGGAAAATTGTTGTTCAAATAGGCAGTTGCACAGTGTTTTAATGTATTGTTTATTGCTGAAAGTTTTCTCCAATTAAATAATAAAGCGCCTAAATGTAGGCAACACTGGTTGAAAAACAAGATTTTCTATTTTAATCTATTTATGTAAACCAAAATGGTTACATTATTTGTAGCTCATCAGTAGAAAAGTGATATTGGAAATCAACAAAAATGATTGCCTGCAAACCCCAGCTCCAATACAAAGCTCAAAAACTACATTTTTGGTCATATATCTCAAAATAAAATAGCGGTGAACATACAATTTGGTGAACTACTTGCTGCTCATATAAAGGAGGTGCACAGTGAAAACCAGCAAAATCGAAAGACTACAAGTATAAGCTCTCATAAAATTGAATGTTCAAAAACTATATTTTTGGTCATATCTCCTAAACTGAAGAAGCTCAGAACATAAAATTTGTTATACTGCTTGCTGATTACATATGAATTGTTGCCAGTGAAAACCAGCAAAATCTAAAGACTACAAGTATAAGCTCTCATACAATTGAAGGTTCAAAAACAACATTTTTGGCTATAACTCCCAGAATTTAAAAATTACCAACATAAAATTTGATAAGCACTTTATTTATTGTAATTGGAGAGCTGTCAGTGAAAATCAGGCAAATTCGCTGAGTATAACAGGTACCTGCCATACAAGCGGCTGTTCAAAAACGAGGTTTTTTATTATAACACAAACAAATAAGTGGTTAGCGATATGAAACTTGCTAATACAACTACTCTACGCATTCAAAAAACGTATTAGCAATAATTTTTCAAATTTCAAAACGTTATAAATTTTGATTGTCACAAAATACGATTTTGTGGCAGAACTCTTGCAAGAAGGCAACAATGCCGCATAATTTGCTATAACTTTAGTTTATTCTATGCCAAAACCATGCATTTAGCTATGAATTAACCGATAACGGTACACTATGCGCGCCAAGGAACAACAACAACTCAATTTATACATCAACATTGCACAATTCTGTGCCGTTGCTAATGAATATGTACATATTTATGTACATATGTATCTCTATGCCATACTTGCATCGGTATTTGATTTTGCTATTTGTAGTTGTTTGTAACGTGTATGTATGCACCGTTATGTATATTTAACTTGCCTTTCGATGTTTGCATTTGCCTTGTTATTGTTATTGGTATTGATTGTATGCATTTCACACTGAAATACTAACAGTTACAATAACAAATTTGGTATTCGCGCTGCCATCGCCCCGTTGTATAGTTTAAAAGAAAATAACAACAATAAGAGCCCAAAATCCTTGTACACCAAAAACGAAAATTCTATGACAATACGCGCCGAACAACAAACAAACGTGTAAGTGTGCTCTCACAAAATGTGTATGTGTCAGTAAAGTACAATACTTGGCATGTACGCCTAAAAGTGTGCTATCCTTTTTGTAGCACATTGCTATAAGCCTTTTCAGCGCATAGCTCTACATTGAAGGTTTCACATTTTTCACTGTGTTTTTTTTTTTTGTTTTTCTTTTCGTTTTCACACATTTGCCATGTCCTTCTTCGTCCAATGTCCTCTTTTTTCTTTGGGTTGCTGTTGCATATACTGTGCTGTGTTTGTATGTTCTCTCTCTATATATGTGTATATATATTTGTACATGTGTGTGTGTGTTTTCCAGTGTCGCGTCGCCTCGCTATTACCGTTACCGTCTCTCGTCATCGTCGTTTTGTTGTTTGTTGCCACATTTTCTGTCATCGTTGCCGGCCGCAGTTCTCCGTTGCAAGCGCATTAGACGTGGTGGCTCGATGATTGTGTTCATTTCAGTCAGTTAGCAGTCTGCTCTAACATTCCGTTGTGATCTCTCGCTAACTGCAGTGTGTGTCGTGTACAAATTCCGAAAGTCCATAAATAATTGGGTTGTGTAATTTTAAGGAAGAGAATTTTAACTAAAATTTTATTTAAAAAAAATTAACAGATTTAAGCTAAAATCGAATAAAATCGAAACGCATTCCGGCGTGCTGCATTTCCGAACCGTCCTGCCTGTTTACTACACTGCCCACAAAGAACCATACATAAATAATGGTGGCCATTCACTCCACGTGTAAGTAAATGTCGTAAATATATTTTGAGGAAATTTATAAAAAAAAAAATTTTTTTAATATTTCTCTTGCGTAACGCCTGCATTAGGTTTCGCAATGAAAATAAATGTTCTGGCGAAAATTTAAAAAATTAAACTTATTAAATCTTAAGGCAATTACGCAAGCTCTGAGCTTACGAGCTTTTATTTTAAAAACTATTAATTCCAATTGATTAATTAAATTTATATAATTAATTTTTTGCAGTATTGAATTTGAATATTTAAAATAATAATAACAATATTTACCACCAGAGTTGCCAACTAAAGTTTTGCAAAAAGCTTAAAATTTATATTTTTTTCGTATCGAAGTGAACCTAATTTGTTTCATCCTTTTCTCTAAGTAATATCATTTCTACATTAACTTAAATGACTTTCAAAACTTTAACTGTCTTCTAGAGCTTTCTGAGACTGCCTAGGTTTTGATTTAAAACGTAAAGTGGCTTTAAAATTGTATTTACAGTATTGAAGCAATCATTTTATATATTTTCTTTACTCCTTTCCTCGGCAACATTTAAAGGTTAATTCCCTTCCAGAGCTTTAATTGTCTTTCAGAGCTTTTTTCAGCTTATTTAGGCTGAATTTAAATTAATATGTGACTTATAAATTATATCTATGGTAATGAAGCTACGTTTTACTTCAACAAATTGTAATTCTTATGCAATAACTCCTTGTTTGTCCGCAAGCTCGCTCTGCCATTCTTATTGTAATCAAAGCAAAATGATTGATATCTTAATATTTTTTAATTAATTAAATTTAAATTAAACTGTTACTATTGTTTCCCTTAAATAATTTTGTTCCCTTCATAAGCTGTTATTCCAAGCTTTAATTGTCTTCCAGAGCTTTGATGGTCTTCCAGAGCTTTAATTGCCTTTCAGAGCTTTTGTTAGTTAGTTATACATATATATTTTATACATTGTAATGAATCTTTCATATATCCTTATACTTAAAGTTTACAGTGATTAACTGTATTTTAGGACTTTAACTGTCTTTCAGAGTTTTTTTTAACTAGTTGACGCTTGATTTGAATCGCTGAGTGACTTACAAAAGGCAATCAATGGTAGTGTAACTACTTTGTACTTTAAGTCTTTGTATATTCTCTGGAGATTGCTACTCGATCTTACCACTCTTACCACTAGAGCTTTAAGTGTCTTGCAGAGCTTTGTTTGTCTTCCAGAGCTTTTTACTCGATTTACAACGCCATGTGATTTTCAAATTGTAATTTCCTGAGCTTTAACTGCCTATTAGAGCTGTAAGTGTCTTCCAGAGCTTTGATTAAGTTCAACTGATAAAGCCACAACTCGGTTATAGTTTAGAACCTAGTAATGCTATGAAATTTAGTAAAATGCTAAAATTGAGATTCACGCCCATTTTCATAGTAAACTCAAATAAAATAAGGTTGTAGGTGCTATGTTTGGGGCCCAGTCATCGTTTCCATAATTCAAATAAAGAAATTCTTTAAACTGTGCCGCAGGATGATTTTCAACTGTGCTTATTGAAACTAATACGAATTGGGGAGTACTTTCCGAAGTAACTTTTTGCTAATGCAGTAATAATCTCACTTAGCGCCATCTAGCGAATAAAAATATCACAAGAAAGCTCTTCAGAAAGCTTTTTCGAAATTTTTAGCCAAACAATAGATGAAGTGTAAGAGGATCATGAATTTATCTTGCTCAGAGTAATAGGCGAGTAAAACCAAATAGCTCAGGCGACAATCGAGTCTCTCTACTGGAACGAACCGGATTCTTTTTACAGTCAAGAACTATCAGTCTTGGAAAATATATGTGCAGTAACAGCAACATTTATATAAAAGACGTACATAAATCTCTTAGTGGCTATATAAATCATTTTATATGGCAACCCTCACAAGGAAAAAACAAGAAGCCATTCGAGCATTCACCTTTAACCTGTACGTCATAGGCGTGAATGAAGCATGAAATAAAAATTCGACACCAACAACAACAAAATTTATTACCTCTTCGGTATGCACAGTGGGTCATTTATCATCATTAAAATGTTTTACCAACCTTTTATATGATAACACTTTTTCATACGCGCAGTATCAATAGTTAAGTTAAAAAAAAATTATAATAAAAAAAATATATAAATAAAAAAACCCTCATAAGTCTATATGCTAACTACACACTCTATTAATATATGGAGAAAAAAATTAATAAATTCATAGCATAGGTATGTAAGAATGCACATATGTATTGCCATTTATGTAGCAAAACATATATTTACACAGCAGTATTGGCATTTCCACACCCGTTTCGCACAATTACTGCCACCACAGCGTTGACGTTTATGTTCTCTTAACACTCCAGAGAGTGTTGCAGTTACTGCTCTTAGCAGCTAATCGTTCATATATGAAAATGAAATGAAATATGCTAAATGGACGCTAAAGCTCACCAGCAATTAGTGGTGGCTGTTAAATGAAAAATTCATAGAAAAAAGTTAAAACGTTAAACGAGAGTGTGCAGGGATTAGAATTTTAAAACTCAAAATACATTTGACGAGAATTTAAATAGAAATTTGTATTTAATTTTTTTTTGATAAATGTCATTTTGATTTATATGACGTACAGTATAAGCGCTCCGGTCTTTTTTTTTTTGTGTATTAAAAAAATATTTTTTTTATTGGGAAAAGTAAAAAAATTCATCATTAAAATACCTGTACTTTCTCCAATATCTCTACCTTCGATTTCTTCAAAAGACTCGAACCAGTGACGCCAATATGCCAATAGTCGGAAGAAGTCAGATCGATAGAATATGAAATAAGGCCTCCCATTTCACCGTTTCTAGTTAGTTTTTGACCGTTATAGCCACGTTACAAAATCAGGTTGGCATGCCTTTCGATCGTTTCTTGTTTCGCCTGGTTTTAGCAGCTCCACACTACACCACAAATGTCTGGTCCCACTGGAAAGCTCTCTGCCTTCAACCCTAAAATCATCACTTGTGAATCATCAAAATCAGTCAAGCAATGCTATTGTCAGAAATGGACGCTGTTGCCCACAAATTATTGTTGACAAATGTGAAACCTTTCCACGAAAATATTTAATCTTTGCCACCGTCGGCCACAATTTGCGGCTGGAGCCATCTTTTGAGTACGAACCGAATCAATTATTTAATTTTATTAATTTTAATTTAAGTTTAATTTAATTAAAAAAAATCTTCACTCATTTTATTTAAATTATTTATTTCTATTTATTTTGTGATATTTTTTTTTAATTTAAAGCTTTTGGAATTATTTTACCTTATTTATTTTCTATTTGATTAATTTAATTTAGTTTAATTTAATTCATTTTATTTTTTTTATTTTATTTCATTTTATATTATTTTATTTCATTTCGTTATATAATTTATTTTATTTTAATTATTTTTCTTTTCTTTATTTCATTTTAAATTTTTCATATTTAATTTTATTCAATATAAATTTGTTTTAATTTAATTTGTTTTTATTTTTTATTTTATCTCTTCTCATTTCATTTTATTTATTTTTAATTTATATTTGTTTAATTTAACTTGTTTTTATTTAATATATGCATTTATTTCTATTTGTATTATTCATGTTTTTGAGAATTTTTTATATTTCAATAATTTAATTTAATTAAATTCAATTTAATTAATTAAACTTTTTATTTTATTTTCTTTATTTAATTTTTTTATTTTATTTAATTTTCCAATTAATTTAAATTTTATTTTAATCAACTTAATTTCGTTTCATTTAGTTTTATTTTATATCAATTTAAATTTAATCTATTTTATTTTATTTTTATATTTTTACACAATGCAATTTATTTTAATTTAAATTAGTTATTAAATTTTTTTATTTATTTTAGGACCTTTTTTTAAATTTAATGTTTTTATTTAACTTTATTATTTTTTATTTGATTAAATTAATTTATTTAATTTCTTTTTGTTTTATTTAATTTGATTCATTTTTTTTANTTATATTATTTTATTTTATTATAATTTATTTTTATTTTGTTTTATTATTTTTATTATTTTGGAAGTTGCCATGCCTTCAAGAAAAGCTCCAGAAACTCAGCTTATTTCACATATATTTCTTAATTCTTACACACATTACTTCGGTACATAAATATATAAATTGTTTCTCTCTTTTCACATTGATTCCCTAATTAATACAATTTCCTGCAGCATACTTTTAGGCGTGCCGACGGCTTAAACTGGAGGGCGCCGCATCAATGACTCATAACGCTACTTTACAGTCAAGGGGCGATTTTCTAATGACTCACGCTTTGACTTTGCGAAGATTGTTGATGAGCTTAATTTAATTTTCGCATAATAAATTTGCAACGTCTGCTTGATGAGACTGTGACTGTCTGTGGCTAGGGGTTACACAGTACGTTGTAAAATGCTTGCCTGGCCGTTTTTGGCAGGCACTCAAGCAGTTACTAAATATATGTAGCTTGTACATTTGCTAATTGACAAAAATGGAAACTTTTGTATGTCCGCAAATTTTGAAAATTGTACGCTACAGTGAAATGTACAATACCTACATAGGAGTACATACATATATCTCTGTGCTCTGTATATAAAGACACACAGCGAGCACTGAAGTCAAGTGTTTGCATGTTCCGGCTACTTACTATGTACGTATGTAGCATACATTTCGGCGCACACTACAAACATGTCAACTAATGTGTCAACACATGCCTTTTCGGCACTACTCACATATATAATACGTATGTATGTGTGTATATTTATTTGCCAAAAGTATACCCCAGAGCATCTACGCTGCTCCTGCCTACTTCACTTACAGCCTAAGCTTACCCATGGCAGTTTCACACATACACGTAACCAAGTTAAATGTATAATCATATATACATACATATATATAAGTATATATATTTTAAGCAAGTAGCATTTTCATTATTGCTGCTTTTATTACTCTCCCCCCTCCTCCCTACATGGCCAACATTTACAAAGTTACAAAATTTCTCG